CATCCAGGCAGACTGGCAGAGGGCCTGTCTCTTATACACATCTAGATGTGTATAAGAGACAGCCTTCGTTCTACGTGCGCGGGACGTCAGAGCTACCTGTGTCCGTGCATCGTTAACCGTTTTCTTTTTCTTTTTCTTTTTTTTTACTATTCGTTATCTTTCGGACTATCGTATCGCTTTTTTTTTTTTTTTTTTTTTYTTTCATTGGACTATCCTTTTAAAAGGGCCTTTTACGAATCAGACCCCAAATGGATAACCCAACAGCAAGGGGCTCTGTCGGCCAGAGCAAGAACTAAATTCACGAGCAGCACTTCAAAAGACAAAGTTCCCTAAGGCATATGCCGCATCCGTAATGAAATGAAAAGACGTTTTGAACAGTCACCCTTAGGTCCTGCACGAACGTGTACTTGACACAGTTTTTAAGACTGAGAAAGGGTCATGTCTCCTCGATGAAAAGTCATGTCTGCTCGGCAATCAGTCAAAGGCTACAGTCCCAGTCCCGTCATAATCCCACGAGTCAGTCCTGGGGCCAGGTTCCACTGGAGTGTGTTCTTCATTCTTGACCGCCGATTGTGGCGGGAATACACAGATCCATGGCCAGAAATGAATAACACCATCTAGTGGGACCTGGCCCCTGATTCAGACCGGGACTCCAAAAGACAGGCCCGATGGCCCGAAGCAGCAGCAGACCATGGGAAAAGGTACTGGGACACACACTTTGCATGGCCCAAAGCAGCAGCAGTCCATGGGAAAAGTACTGGGACACACACTTTGCATGGCCCAAAGCAGCAGCAGACCATGGGAAAAGGTACTGGGACACACACTTTGCAACGATCGGCACTGGGCAGGAGTCCCAGGCACACTTGAGGCTGAATGCAGGCCACGCCAGACCAGTCAAGCACTATGAAGGACTGGCCAGCCTGCCATTCGGGCTATTCGGGCTGATGCTCACTTCGCATGAGAGTGTGGAAGTGCCGTGGCACTTGTGGGCTAGATGTGTGTGAGCTGCGCTAGGCTGAAGAGCAGGCCTATGAGAGAGAAGAGAGAGTGCTGGCTAGAGGGAAGGAAGCCATAGCTGCGGCAGCGCTAGTTAGTATGTTCGCAGGGATAGTCAGGAGGAGAGACCAGTGAGTAGTATTCAGAGTAGATCCTGGTGTGTTAGGGAGTGTGCATGCCTGATGAATGAGGCTAGCCCAGGTCTATAGACATAGAGGGAGAGAGAGAAGAAGGCAGACGAGAGAGGGGGAAGCATGCGCTATGGTGATACTTACCTGTTGAGGGCTGTTGTTGACATCTGGTAGCTGGAGCTAATGGGCGCCAGGCTTGGAACTCATGTTTTCTTATTATTTTCATTACCTGTATCACTCTTCACTCTACTCCAGCCTTTTCTTTAGTGTCCAATTCTATATGGATTAATATCATACATAACGAAATTAGCAACGAAGAATGGATTGAAGAAGACTTGTAACTCTGTTCAGCGCTATACACTTTCAACTCGTGATGTTTTCTCTCTAAATCTGGGTTTGATAATTGAGTTGAGCTCCCTGGTTCTCATTCTTTTTTTTTTTTCGTTTTTTTTTTTTTGTTTTTTTGTTTTTGCATGAACAACCCGATCAGGTGCTAGATGTGCTGATAAGAGCAGACACATCTAGCATCGTCGGGGAGGCTCCATCTATTGGTGGGGAGCAGCACCTGCTGGAAATCGGGTCCAGCATCCCATTGGATACATCTTTGTGGCGCATATTGGGTTTGTATGAGACTTGGCAGTCTGTGGAAAATCATTGTAATATATGCATGTGATCGGATGCACTCCAGCAAGTGATGAACAGTCTTCCGCCAAACAGAAGCGCGCACTCATCGTGAAAGCATTCATGGTACATTCTTGGTCCGATACAGTCATGATGACGGTGCGTTGTGTTCGGGGGGATGTTGGCAGCACCCAAGAAATTACCACTGGAGACAGTGGAGAGTGATTTGAACTCTTTTTTCTGTTTATGCACCAGCTGCATAAATCTACTGCTTAAATTTGCATCGACTTCCCGGGAAAAAAAAAAAGAAGAAAAAAAGACCACGTACCGCTGGAGACAGTGTAGAGTGATTTGAACTCTTTTTTCTGTTTATGCACCAGCTGCATAAATCTGCGGCTTAAATTTGCATAGACTTCCGGGGAAAAAAAAAGAAAAGAAAAAAAGACCACGTACCGCTCACGAGCCCTCGATAATCCATCCCTTAATCAAATCCATCTTCAACTGAACAGAACGCACGGTCTTTATCACAGCTGTATCTGGACGGAAAGTTGACCCAAATAAACAAGCTTTACCGCGGGACCTGCGTGGGTAATGCCCGGGTGAAGAGGATACTTGCCGCATTCGACAGTTCTAAGCGTTTATTGCAGCGTGGATTCGAGTCGGTGTGTCATTGCATCGGCTGGAGGCGAACTCACGACCTGTCTGTTAACAAACCTTTTTTTTTTTTTTTTTTTTTTTCCCATCTGCTTGTCAAGAATATCTCCATTTTTTCGGATCAGATTAATATCTGATCCGTCGACAAAAAAAAAAAAAGGGAGGGGGTTACCCAACAAATATGGCAAGGACAACTTGGGCATATCCGTTGGATGCTGGAGTCGGCTGGTAGGTGTTCGCTTTTCTTTTGTCATTCAGTGTTGGTTCCTTGTTGTATTTTTATTATTGCCCATTAAAGAGGGGTCTGTGGCTCGTCTAATTCTTTGCTTTTAGTAATTGGTGGAGTAAATACCACAGGTGCGGCACGCTCGACTTTTTGGAGAATACTAGTAGCGGTGCTGCCGATTACAGTGACAGTGTAAGAGGTGGTAGTGGGAACGCTCCTGGTGAGGTGGTGACAGAGGAGACAGGGGGGAGCATACTTGAGGTGTACCCATTGTGATCGTTCACCCATTTAGATCCAAGGGTGCGTGGTGGGAAACCCGTCATGGCAGATCCGGCTCTTCGTGGTAGTGCATAGTTGGGTGGAAGAGGTCGCATGACTAGCCTGTGGACATTAAGAGTGCTATATGGCTTGTTCTCTGGGGACCAGGGTGGGTGATTTCATACTATGTAGCGTACAAAACGATTTGGATATTAGGTTATCCTTTCCCTACTCCTTTGAGTAAATACCACAGGATGGGCATGGACGGCATTTTGGGTAGTACTAGTAGCGGTGTTGCGGGAACAGTGAGAGTGTGAGAGGCGACAGTGGGAACGCTCCTGGTATGATAGTGGTAGGGGAGACAAGGGGGAGCATACTTGAGGTGTACCCATTGAGGTCGTTATACCCATTGAGATCCAAGGGTGCGTGGTGGGAAACCCGTCATGGCAGCTCAGGCTCTTCGGGGTTAGTGTTTAGTAAGGTGGATGTTGTCTCATGAATTGCCTGTGGATAGTTCAGGGTTAGTTTGGGGGGTTTGTCTGTTCGTCCGGGCTTAGTKATTGGAATYATACAATTAGAAATTGAGACTCGTATGCATCTTGCTGTAATTTTGGGTTGGCTTATAATTCGTCTGTTAATTTTGTTAATCTTCTTAATCCCCATAGTTTATTGTTCATTGCCTCCTCTAGWGTTTCGAATTGTAGAACCASGCTGGAGAGTTAGCTCTGACAGGGTTTCTTTGAATTTTAGCACTAAGTAGGACTGTGCTTTGTCCGGTATGGAATTACTTGAGCTTCAAGAGATTTTGGAAGATGAGAGTAGATTAGTGAAAGGAAGGGATGCTGGACCCGGTTTTCAGCATGGTTTCATATTCTCCGGGTTGTTTGTGAGGAATTCCCGGCCTCCTTTCATTTGTAATAAAAGTTAATGATTCTTCCAAAAAAAAAAAAAAAACAAATATGGCAAGGTCCCTTGTCAAAAGTTCCATCCAGGCAGACTGGCAGAGGGCAGAGGCACTCCCCGCGTCACTGGCTGAATGTGTAAATGGAGCATGCATGGTACGAGACAACGCGGGGAAATGCAGCCGCCATTTTATTTTCTCTTTCACATTTGGTAAGCCGTGCGGCGAGGGCCACAGGAGGTAGTTGCACGACTCGCCATCTGCCAAGGTTTTGAATGCATCTGGACAAACCCAGCGTCCACGTGCATTCAAAATGTTGGCGAATGGCGAGCGTTGCAACTACCGGTAGGCCCATACTCTGACGGTGACTTCTTCCCGTTATCTGAGCGCATAATTATCGTCAGGTTCATCCAGCTGACCGCAAAAGCGTTCAGATTGAGATTATAAAAAAAAAAAGAAAAAAAAAAAGGACCCACTGTGAGTAGATACGGCCGTAAATTTAGTCAACTGCATCTATGACATTGTGTCAGATCAAGTCTGGCCATCAGCACACTGGAAGTACGACTCRTTGACCCACCTCTGGACGTAATCGTCGATCAGATACATCGACACACGTTTCCGTACTTGGAGTCAAATACATCCAGAAGCACGTTGGCAGGCACTCCCAAGTCAGTCCATTTGGTCAGAGGTCATCCCCCACGCAGGGTGGCACGGTTTTCTTTTTCCTTTTTTTTTTCGCGAATCGCCTCCCTTATGGGGTACAACCTTGATGACTAAGGTAGGACAGAGGACAGAGGGGTTGAGGGTGCGCCGGGGTAATTGATCAGAGGAAGGGTGGAGGGGAGTCTTATGAGGGGGGTTACCAGAGAAAAAAGAAAGAAAAGGGGTACCACCGTGGTCCATTCGGGAGAGCTGCAGTCCTCCTTTATGGGATACGCCCCCGGGGCCTCGCTCAACTGCAGAACATGCTAAAAGTGCATCTGGATCTGGTAATAGCTGTAATGCATTCAAAATGTTGGGTTGGTCTGGATGTCTCTAGTCTTATATCAGCCGAGATACATGTATCACGTTGGGTTGATGAGGGAGGCCTTCGGTTCGTAATGGGGTACGCCCCGGCGTCCCTGGTTCGGTACGGGGTAACAGAGGCCCTGCTTCCATACAGGGCACCCCTGTTGCCTCCATTTGAGGCCGAGAGGACCAAAGCCCAGCTTGCAACATCGGGAAAAGTTGTAGAACCTGGCCCCGCGGACAAACCTTTGTTATGCAATCTTTGTTCCATGCAAATCCGCTTTGATAGGCTTTGTTTGTTTGTTTGTCAAAAGGAGAGTTACGTTCCCTTCGCGCCTGGTCGTTAACTTTTATTTGGCCTGTGGCACTCTTGGTGCCAACCGACTGAGATAGTCACAGCTGGATCCTCCCAGTCGGTATCAATAAGGTCTTCAGCCAACACAGGTGTGAGTGCGAGTGTGAGTGGGTTGAGTTCGGTGTTTGGGAGAGTGTTGGCTTTAGACACTACTGTTACTCGATGGGGGGTGGGGGAAATGAAAAGGGAGGCACATCTACCCTAAATGCTCGGTACTTGTGTTGTTAGCCGGGCCTGGCCCCCACTGGCGGCCCCAACCCTGCACCCTAAACGCTGGGGCAAAGGGGCAAACATGCAGTTACCTCTCTCAACTGAGAGAGGTAACCTCCCTTCGCCGAAGAGAGGTAGAAAGCTATGCTTGCAGGGGTCCCCTGTATAGCCTTAGGAGCAGTGGTAGGTAGGTACTGAAAGAAAGATATGTTCCATGACATGGCAGAATGCCAGTTAAAAGACATGTGAGGTGAGAGAAAAATATATGGCTGTCCCCCGATGAGGACAAGGCAGTTTCAAAAAAAAAAAAAAAAAAAAAAACCTCATACAGTGATTAAGGGGCTCCTTAGATACTCCTAAAAGAATCCTAAAACTTTTAGGACGAGTCCTAAAGGTTTTTTAGGATTCCGTGCGTCGTCGTTACACGCAATCCTAAAAATCATCTTTTAGGAATCGTCCTAAAAGGTCTCCCGCGGCCGGTTTTCATATGCGTATACACAGCCGCGCCGCCGATGTCCGTCCCTTCCTGGATGTTGTCCGTGGTACACAGTGCGGAGCCCTTGGGAGGAGGAAAAAGCGGTGGGTGAAAAGCGCAGTCCCCCCGAACTTCAAAAATTCAAATTTGAATTTTCGCGGACGCAGGGTAGCGCGGCGGAGGACGGCCAGGCGACGCGTGTGACGTCCAAAAGACCGCGGTGGCGAAGCGTACGCTGTGGGTATCCGTCTTGCGACTCCGCGCAACTTGTGACCAGCGGGCGCATCTTCGTGGTGGGCGCTTCTTCACCTACGTCGTGCGCGCTGCCCTGTGGAAGCGTGGAGCAGCGGGCGCGTCTTCGGCTGCGCCGTGCGTCATCTCCTGTGCCGTCGTACACGAGCGGCCGCATCTTCGGCACCGGCGTGCGTCGTCAAAGTGGCGGTTTTCAGCAGCGGGCGTTTGTTTGGCGGTTGTGGCTGGCGTCTAGCTATGGGGAGCACGGGGTTCTTGGATATGGACGTTTGCGGGCGCGGGCAGGGTCTTCGGAATGACGAAATTGAGGCGGTGGCAATGGCCATGACTGCCGTCGTCGTGAACACGATGCGCGGAGTGCCGTCCTCGTCACGCGACACGCTGGCGGAGCTCCGCAAACAATGAGCGCTGTTGCAGCGCATTGGCGAAGCGCCAGATTGCATGGCCACGTGTCAGGCAGTCATCCAGTTGTGCGCCGTGCTGTCTTCTGGCGTTTTCCCGGACGAGACTTCGCGCTGGTGGATTAAACGAAGGACTGGCGGAACATGGGAGGACCTCCGCCTGTGTGACGACGCGACGAACGAGTACTACCGTCAGAAGTTGCGCATGTCGATGGCCATGTTCAGGCAGATCAAAGGTGACGCACTATAGGATGCCATTGCCGGTGGAGCAGGTCATCGCATTCGCGCTGTACAGGTGGGCGTAAGGAGAGACGTACGAGAGCGGCACTTCTGCCTTCGGCATCAGGAGAGCAACTGGGCTGCAGGCCGTCCGCGACGTCACTTCGGCACTGCTGCAGGTGTACCCAGACGCGATAAAGTGGCCAGTGGGCCGTAGACGTGCGCAGATTCTGCGGGCTTTCCGTGACAAGGGTTTCCCCAACTGCTTCGGCGCAATCGACTGCACACACATCTTCATTGACAAGCCCGCCGGCGCACCATCTGCCAACTACTACGACCGCAAACAAAAGTTTTCCGTGCAGACGCAGGTGGTAGTAAATTTCGATCTGCGGATCATGGAGGTCCACATTGGATACCCGGGAAGCGTGCACGACGTCCGTGTCTTGCACAATTCCCAACTATGGAGGCGTGCACAAGCTGGCAAGCTGTTCGACGCACCTCCGGTGAGTCTGCTGCACGGAGTCGTCACGCGAGGTTACCTGCTAGGCGACAACGGTTATTCTGTTGTCTGCCCCTGGATCATGCAGCCGTACGGAGGAATCGACCAAGGTCCTGACGAGGAGCGGTTTGGCATGTGGGAGAAGGTGGCGCGGGGGTGTGTGGAGAGAGCTTTCGGGCGGCTGAAGTGCATGTGGCGTCTTTTCTTGCGCACCCACAGGACGAACCTGGATACCTTGCCGCAACAATTCTTGGCAGTGTGCACTCTGCACAACATCCTCCTAGACGTCGGGATCGACTTCGATGAAAACCTGTTGTGGGAGGTGGATGAGAATGGTGTGCGCCGGAGAGTGGATTTGGGCATTGTGGGGAACGGCGCGGGCAGGCGGCAACGTTGCACGAATGTCGACGGGGACTTGTTGCGTGACGCTCTTCGAGACCGGCTATCTTTGATGTAGGAGCACTTAGACGCGTAGTGGGGGTTTGGTGCGTGTGTGTGTAGGGTGTGTGTGTGCCGGGGGTGTCGGGATTGCGGACGTGGGTCGGTGCGATCAGTAGGAGGGTTCATATTTTGACGTGGCCCGTGGCCCGCTGTCGCCGTCCGCGAAGTAGCTCTGTCGAGCGAACGGATGCATGGTCGTCGGTGATGACTTCGTTTGCTGTGTTCGTCGTGAGGAGGGTTGCGTGGTTCGCACGTATGTGCGAACATTTAATATTGGAACGACCTTTTTTTTCCCCTAGTGTCGGTCGCTTCAAATGTTTTTTCTTTTCTTTTCTTTTTGATTGGATTGAGCTTCCAGCTGCAATTCGTATGCTGTTCTTTTGTGTTGTCGGCCACTCGCTCGACTGCATTGCTATCATGCAGTGGGAATTGCTATTTGTTTGGCTCCTCAGTTTTATGTGTTTCATGAAATCTTCTTCGTTTCAGGACGAGTCTTTGTTTTTCTTCTTTTTTTCTTGCAATGTTTTTATAAATTTTTTTGTTTGTCTCAATTATTACGTCGTCAGTTCGTCTATCATGGTGTTTTTCGTGTGCTGTTTGGTCGACCTCATACAACGATCTTTTTCGTCGGTTCGTCTGTCACGATTTTTTTTGTGAGCTTCACAAAATGCCGTCGAAAATATTGATGATAGTTGGTCGATCTCATACAACGAATACAAGCGCATTTCAGGGACGTCGTCTTTGGTTGTGTGCATGCATGCGAGGCAAACATCTTTTGATCATCCATCGCTGAGAGGATAACAACGGTGCGAAGGTGGAGGGCAGACAAACAAAGAAGACTAAAGAAAAGGTGCGCTGAAAGCGCTTTCGAATTGCATGTCGATCGAACTGCAATGATAAACACAAAACACATTGAGCAGACAAACAAAGAAGACAAAAGAAAAGGTGCGCTGAGAGCGCTTACGATTTGCTTGTCGACCCAGCTGGGATGATAAACACAAAACACACGAGTGTCTTTAACGTACCCGTCGTCGACTACGACGACCTGCACACTACACATCTGCACTAACGAAATTAACCAATCAACCGGGTTTTGCTGCACTCTCGACGCGCTAAGACCCCCCCCCTCCGTGGTGACGAAAGCGCTATAAAGTCGCTCGCATGCAAAGAGGCAACTGCATGACTGGCCACATATCCACTCGCCCGCGTTCACACAACAGCAAGCCCCCCCCGGATACCTACCCACTCACGCGCCCACGCGTACTGCCCACCTCCCCCCCCTTTACGCGTCACTCTTGTCGTCGCCGTCGTTGTCATCATCGGCGATACCCGAACCCAACCAATCGAGCTTCTTAGCTTCCTCCGGCCCGTCAATCCTTGCGTCGTGTCCGAACACAATGTCGCGGTCTGCCCATCGAGGAAGGTAGTCGGGGTGCTCTCCAAACGTGGCATTTGCCTTCCCGAGCCTTTCCGTGACGGCTTTCACGGCGAGGCGAATGGATCGACGATGGTTGAACGACCGATGCATGGACGCCACGAGTGTGGGCTTCGACACCAGCGTCGCGAAGTCGAAAGCTTCGAAGTGGCTGCGCGGATCGTCTCCCGACATGCACATTATCCACATGCACGCCGCCAACAACAGTTTAAAGCTGTCAGCCACCCGGCAAAGACGATCGTGTGAGATGAACTCGCCGTCGATGACCGCCCCCATTTGCACCGCCGCCCGGAACGCATGCGCGACGTAGATGATGGTGGACTCCTGGTACGCCACCATGTCATCGTCGTCCGGTCTGTTCTCGACTTTTACGCCCGCGAACCACAGTGGCAAGTCCATGGAGAGATTTATTGTGTGTGCGCAAACCGCCGGGATGACGGCATTGCACCACTCCTCGCCGTACCACATAGCTCGCGCTATGTTCGTCGCCACAGACTCTAGCGCGTACTGGAAAGCAAGATTGTAACCCCTTGGGCGGTTCCCAGACTTGAAAACCCAGCCGTGCAATACGTGGAGAGCGATGTTCTCCACTGCCGATGCACGGGAGGTTGCTTGTTGCAGCTGCGACGGGTCGGTGATCCTGGCTATCCACGTGCTGGATTTGGGCAGCACAACGCTCCCAGGGATCGCAGGCGGTGGAAGTCCGCTGGCGATGGCGACGAAGTACTCTCTTGTCTCGTGTACGATGTTGTAGAGTCTTTGCCCCTCCCCCGTCTCCAGAAAGGTTTGTCGTCGACCCAAAGGACGACACGGTCTATGAGGTGATTTGTCAACACTCCCCTGCGCGGCCTGTTCGAACCAGCTTCGCCGCCCTCCCGATCACTCCTCTTCTCTCCACGCGCGTCGTCCCTCGCCATCGACACAACTGCTCCCTCCTCTCTCGCCGCCGGAACTAGGGGCACACTGCCTGAAACACCCGCAACCTCGCCCGCCGCACCTGCCGCCCTAACCTAAACAGCGCCCGTGTGCGCCGCGACTACCCCACCGCCGCCTCGTTAGACAGACCCTCCTTCAGCAGCCGTGTTGCGAGGACGTGGCGCAACCGTGGTGGCGGGCAGCCTACACGTGACTGCCTTTTCTCAAACGAGAGCGTGGCCCGAAGCCGTCAGCGGCGGGGTGGCTGCTGTGTGACTGCGCAGGAGGCGTCTTTCCAAGGGCTCATCATCGTCGTCACCAACATCGTCGACGTGAGCGTCGTCAGTCCGCCTGTCGCGGGCGCGCACTTGCTTCGTCTTGGGTGGAGGGGTCATCAGCCTTTTCGAAGCGCTGTGATCAGATTGTCGTTGCCGTCCACTCTCCCGAACTGCAGACGCAGTCGCCTGTCCCTGATCTTCGTCAATCACGAAGTCGTCGTCGTAGTCGCCCCCCGCTTTTGCCGCCCAACCTTGCGCTTCTCCAAGAGGGACCCTTGTCGACGCATCATTCGACCGCAGCCTCTTCGCCTTCGGGACATGCCTCCGACCTTTTCCAGTCACTTGGCTGTCATCAGGCAGTCCTTCGCGCTTCTTCCCACGGCCCGTCCCTCGCGCAGACATGTTCCCTCGTGACCCTGCAGGCGAGCCACGCGACCCGATGTGAAGACCGCCACGTGTCCATTCGCCCACCGTTAAAAGCCTGCGTGTTGGCAGATCTTACGACGACAATGACTCCCGCGGCAGACTGCCGTGACGAAGAAGGAAAGTCGCACGACGTAGAAGATCTGCCAACCGAAGGAAGAAGAGGTCGACTTACGCGTGGCAGACAGAAGGACGACGACTGTGGCGAGAGCGCTCGGCGGGGAATGGGTTGGAGATGACAGGAGAGAGAAGATCGTCGACGACGGCGCTCCGTGGCGAGAAGACTGACGGGCGACGTGCGCGTGCACGGCAGAAGGACGGCGACTCCCACGGCCTAGCGTGAACAGCGCGCGCGGCGGGCTTCAACACAGGTGCGCGCAGATGTAGAGATGGTCGTGCAGCTTCGGGTGCGCAGATTTGAAGTGATCTGATCGCGGTGGACCGCCCACGACGTAGCGTCCCACTTCGCGGGAAACTGCATCGCCAAGGGTGGCAGGCGCGACCGCCCAGGCTATACGTGGCGTGTCATTTCGCTCTTCCCCGACGTGCAAAATGAGCCTTCTGCGTCCCTGGCGACGCGCGTCATGTCACTCGCCACCCGCCCTGCACGTCGAAAATAAACCCCCCTACCGATCGCTATGACCCACGTCCCCAATTCTTACCCCC